AGTAATAAACATGCATTTGTGTTGCAAAACACAACGGTTAAACTCATCTTTAACAATATTTTGATATTTTCGTTAGTTGTGCTTTTTGGTGAAGACATTGGAGAAGGTCAGTAATCAAGGTCACCAAGAGTCTATTATCAACAGTTTTGCTATGGAGCCATCGGATGGCTCGGCTTATGGAGTCATCTATAATTATTCACAAATAATGTATTAACACGTGTCCTACAGTAAATATACTTTTGATATGTGCCAATACATTAACTGATCGATAGCTACATAAGAAAACCATCCAATTGGTGCATAGATTTTTTTGTCTTTATCATCATACTAAAAGATAGAACAATTCAATTTGCCTTTTACACACCCCCTAAAGCTAACAAAATAAAGGCTGTTGAGTTGGAGCCGCCCTTTCTGCACTTTCCCAGCATCACATACAACATACACACACGAAATGCCATATAAAGGCACATTCTTTACCATTTCCATAATCCCTAGTAAATGAATTTGTTTTTCCGTTTGTTGGAAAAGGGTGTCTGAATTCTTGGCAGATTTTTCGAGTATGGCCCTTTTGAGCCGAACCCCAAATTCTTCTTCATCCCCACATTTCCAATCCACAAAGCGAACCAAGTTGTTTGTTAACTCTAAGCCAGTTATCACCACCACCGTCAGCTGCGCGTCGAAATCGCCGTTCACGGAGAAGCACTCGGCGGCAAGGTACCACAGGGACAGATGGGTGTACAACGGCCGTAATCCGCCGCCGCCGCCGCCGCCGTCTTCCTGCCCGCTCCCTTCCGATCGGGAATCGGTCAGGGATTACGACATAGCTCTGCAGCTGCCCGAACTGAAGAGATTGCTCGAGGTTTTGAGGGGAAAGAGGGGGGACGAAGGAGGAGGTGGGAGGGGGCCCGGGAACGTGTTCTTGGTGGGGACCGGGCCAGGGGACCCGGAATTGCTGACGCTCAAGGCGTTGAGAGTGATCGAAAATGCCGATCTTTTGCTGTATGATAGGCTGGTGTCTAACGATGTGCTGGATTTGGTGGGGCCCAATGCTCGGCTTCTGTATGTCGGA